TCTGAAAAGTCTTGAAATTGATTCAGGAATGCTTAATAGGATTTTTTTCATCAGTTAGTCGCCTCACATTATTGATGACATCGATGTTGCCCTTAATATTGTATTATATCATAATACAACTCGTCAAAGTTGTATTGTATTTGAGTCAGTTTCAAGTTCCGCACGAGAAACGTGCAATGACTTCCGGCAAATCGGTTCGTATATTATTTATTGGAGTAACCTATGGCGTCGTTTTTCTTCGGAAATAGATTCCGATACTTTAGTTCAAGCTTTTCGCAACAAGAAATATTCACGAACCCTTTTCCTTTGACTTTGACGAATCTCAGTAGGTTTTTGGGACAAATGAGAATTAGTTTATTAAATACCCTTGTTTCCATTAATACATTATAAATTAAAGATTAAAATTGCAAAGTTTTAATATTATATTTTTGATCAGATAGAAGAGATCGTGTTGTAGTTCTATATTGAGTAAAATGTTTCGGTCTATAAATCAAAATTTCACTGTAACAAAAATTTGATTGAAATATACCGAACAAAAAATTTTGATTAAACTGTATTAAAACTATAATTTTACACAAATTAAATTAATTAATTGGTACAAACAAATCTTTTTGTTATTTACAAAGCTGAAAAATGTATTTCGCAGAAGCAACTAAATTTTTTGTTAATCAAAAGAAAAGCAAGACAGTTCGTTTAAAGGTATAAGTCGAAAAGTATCGAGCTCGTCTGTCGTGTTCGGGAATAGATTAGCGAATGTCAGAACTGAATGCGAAATGCTCTTTGAAGATTCAATGAAGGATGATAGATCTGGTGGATTGCGGTAATTCCTCGACAGCAGCTTGAAAGTGTGCGAACAGATGCACGACTTCTCTCTCGAATTTTCCTCGTGACTATGCAAAACTTTAAAATTCTAAAATCGGAGAAGCGTTCCTCAATTTTTTCAGTTTAATATAAAATCAAATACAAAAAAAGGAAAGAAATATATAAACAAGATCGTGAAGTTTATCTTCTAATCATATTAATTAACTGGTATTTTTAAATAATATCCTATGAAAAATGAAGAATAAAAAATGAAGAAAAAGTAGAACTAAATTTCAATAATGGCTCTGTACTCTATTTCACAAAACTATGTGATTTACTTTTGTTAAAGGTAGAGGAATACCTTGACATACTTTCTCGATTGCGGTTTAACTTTAGTTTGAACCCAACTGGTGCAGAACTTTTTTGATGCACATTATTTTATAAGACATGTTACATATCAAAGATAGTAAAGGGGAGGGAGGGAAGGAGGGAGAGAGAGAGAGAGAGAGAGAGAGAGAGAGAGAGAGAGAGAGAGAGAGAGAGAAGATAGCTTTGGAATTCCCACATTGATAAATTCTGTTCGAGTCTTCGAGTACGCGTTCAAGAATTTCATATACTATAGCCTTCTTGCGTAATACAATTTGTCCGATCCAGTAAATACATTTTACATTAACCACTTCTATTTAACGAGAAATATACCGAGCAGTCATTATTAATCGTTTTAATTTTTTAGATTAATATATACTATATTACTTATGTAAAAGATAGGATTCTGAAATCTTTTGACAATATCTTTTTCAATAATTATATCTTTCAGATTGATGAAATATTTGATTTTTCATTATCTTTTTTATCTTCGTAAGTAATTCATTTACTTAGTTTTTTAGAGTAGGAAACGTTGGTACACTTTTAGTGTTAACAATAAAAAAAAATTTATAGAAAGATTTTTACGAGAGTTGAAAACATTGAGAATCACTACATGATAGACGAATTTAATTACTTGGTCATTTCCATAACATTAATGTCTATAAGCTTCATTTGGTTCGTATCTCATTGATCACTTTCTCCGAGATCGATATGTGCCACTACCGAGACGAAACCTAATCCGAGTATTTCGCGCGCTTAATTAGTCGGGGCAATATTCGCTATAATATGGAGACTACCTCAGATAGCACTTCGCTAGTCAGCACCATCGCTATGTTTTGCCACTATTGTTTACGACTATGCGCAGTAGTTGTCGTAGAATGTCCCGGATTTGTGGACAACATTCCATGCATATCGAGTTATAGTGATAGAGATTTAACGCAGCGTTTTAATCCAAAGCAAATGAAACATATATTTAAACAGTTGTCTGTACCGGATATTCTCCATAATCTCGAATAATCTGTATTGAAGAACTATTATCTGTCCACGTATCACACACAATCGTGCTCTTCTCTCGATATTGTCATAGATTCTCTCTTTCTCTGTCAATATAGATAATGCAACAAATTCCATTCAGAAAATATTTAATAGCAAAAGTTAGGTGCAATTTTTTTTTAAATTATAAGGTAGATAACAAAATTTAACTTTACGTGGACTTAGCAGAAAGTTAATAGGAAATTAACTATCGAGATAATCATAATAACTTTGAAAATTCTTTGTAAGTTACCTTTCATGAAATAAGTTTCTCTTAGGTATGCAGCTCTCTCTTTCCATAAGACAGTGTGTCAATAATGTAGAACATTGATACTTATTTGAGACGAACTAGTCAGAGAGCTAAAAGATATCAAGATGCGATGTCAAGATATTTCGCATGCTAAAGGGAGTGCAAAGGAGACATTCCGTCTGGCACTTGACAGCGCGTTATATGAAACACGCATTACGAATAGTGTCTTTTATTTACATTTCTCCATCTTTCCCTTCCGGAGGGAAGAAAACTCCCTCTACGCGAATTTCGTACGAGACGCGCAGAAATAGAGTACCAAATAAGTGCTGAATCAAAGTTTCAGATTCAACCGAGCATGTTGCTCGTGAACTCGAAGCACGTGCACAACCCTTTTGAACAAGGCGTAGAACTATTCGGAATTACATTCTCAGTAATAAAAAAAAAAGATCCAAGAGAACGAGAGGATTAGATAAAGATAAAAAATTCTCGTTAAATATTAAAGAAATTATCATTTATGTGCATTCAGTGTTTATATAATAAAAGTAGATTTTTTTTAATGATCAAATTCTTTAGTTATTATTTGAGGTAGAATTAAAATTACGTCCATAGTTTTTCATCACTTTAATTTTGTTATATATACTAATGAAAATTACTGCTTAAAAGAGAATGATGATTATTTATTTAAAAATAAAATACAATCACAAGTTGTTCCAGGAATTTTTATTGATTTTTTTTATATAGCAATTATAGAGTTGATTAAAAATGATTCTCATATGTAACATTATAAAAAGCTATCCACTGAGCTGTCATTTATATAGAAACTTTATTGTCTAGTTTTAGTTATTTGAGTGATCAATGGAATAATGATTAAACATGTAATGATTATATAATGCATTTAATTCCATTTATACTCTTCAATTAATGAACTAAAATAATTCAGAATTAGTTAAATAACAAGAATGTTACAAAGAATAATTCGCCAAGTACTCTCTATGATTTCATCACGTACGGATAAAGCGTCAATCCCTCAAATAGAATTTCATCAAATATGTCTAATTTCTTTTATCTAATAATCAATAATAAATTAGTTATTTCGTCGTATGCTTGCTGTAATAAGTTCGTAGCTTCTCAAATCTCTTAAAAAGTAACAAAATATAAACTTCCTCTCGGAAATGAAGTACACGGAAAGAGCGATTTTGTCAAAGTATTTAAAATTTAGCTAGATACAGATTTGAAAAGTATTTTATTGAATCATCAAAATAATTATATAAGAATTCTCAAATTAATTGCTAGAGCATCAAAACCTTTTGCCCTATTATTATCATGTTTGAATCTCTCTTACAATTAATATGATCATCCAATATAATTATTTTAATAGTTGAACAAAATTATTTTCAGATTAGTATTTAAATTTTTAGATACTTCAGCAAAATCATTCATTCCGTGTTAACTTCTTGTTGAAGTTCTTCTGCCCACTTGGCTCTCTGATTTAGCTTCTATAGCTTCTAATCGCTCATCAACGTTTGCACGAGTCGTGCGAGTGCCCACGTAGCCAGATGTATCCTCCGTGGCGGGACCGCATTCCGACGATTCCGTGTTCTGCGTTACGCGGTGACACAGTATATATTGACTGAGGGTGGATTGTGCGCCCCCGACTGATTTGGCGCGGCTGCGCAATTCTGGACCCCGCGGGCGGCCGTCGGTCTCTGTATACTCATTGCTTTTCCTGCGTATGTATCGCACGTAGCACGTTCGCCCGCGAGTCGTGCCTCGCTTTGCTCCCCCGCGAGGAATAGCTGTCCCGCCACCACCGCCGGCATCACCACCGCCGACGCCGACGCCGACGCCGACGCCGACGCCGACGCCGCTCTCTTGCACCCTCCGTCGGACTCTCCCTCCTATCGTCCGTTACCCTCTCTCTTTCCCTCCTGCTCACGCTTCCTCGACTCTTGCGTCTACTCGTGGCTTCACGTTCCTTCCTTTCCCATCGTTTCGTCTCGATCGCTCTTCTCTCCCGCTGGTCTACATTCGTCGCATTGAGCTACCCATGATTACACACGTGTACATGAATGTGCACTAGACGGAGCGATAAAAATATGTCAATGACAGACCCAGTACAGGACGACGTACCGATACGTCGGTGCCGGCCTGCGACAAGATAACGCGCGCGAGATTACCGAGTGCGCGAAATCGGCGCGTGAATTCGACGCGCGCGGCGGGAATCCATCAGAAACGTATGAAAGTGAGGAGCGCGTATCGGTTATAGAAGATAAAAAAACCGTTTCCGTGTGTTTCCTCGTCCTCGGCAAACTGAATAACCAGTCTGTAACCGGAAAGACAGTGACACGACGAATCGTGGTGAATCTCCCAGTGACATGTGCACCTGTGTCTGTAGGTGTGGACGACGTCCGTTGGTCAGCGTCGGTGGTCAGTGGAGATAAACGTCCTCTCCCGGGCTCGCCGTGTGTGTGAGAGTGTGTGTCGACCGCGCACGACAGTTCCGACCAGCGGGAGGTCGACCGGAAGCGGTAAACTAGGTGATACCGTCCGTGGGGAACCGGTAGTGGCAGCCTGGTAGTGGTCTGGGTCCGTCGTCTATACCGGACCGGCTAGTTTATGTGATGAACGTGGTTTAATGGTTGATCCGCTAAAACTCTTCTGGGTTATTACCAACAGCACTTATCTGGGTATGTCCGAGATCGTGCAAAGAGTCGATCACGGGGAAAATGGGGCACAATCACGCGTTCGTTTGTTCATGCGAAGAGAATAGTTCACCAATTCAGTAACGTATAAATGTGGCTGCAATCACTGCTGAAGCGTAATCTGAGAGCATTCGCGATGCCGTATCAAGAATTTCATTTTGTTGCACTTCGTACGATTGTTTCTCGTTTTCCCCTACACGATTCTTCAGTATCATACAACAAGCGTGTTGACAGTGATATCGCATGAATAGTTTCTTGTTTCGTGATATTTTAAAGAGATCTAGCTACAAAAGAGAAAAACTCTTCGTTAAAGACGAATTTATTATTTCTCTTCATATTTTACATACTCATTATATACATGAAAAGAATAGTTTTGCTAATATATCTAAAAATTTAGCAATATACAGATCTGAATGCAATTTTGTAGGTTTCTCATGAAAATAATTATGAGAATGCTTAAAATGTTAAATAATGCAGTAAAAGGTTTTAACATTTTAGGAATCAATTTGAGCGTTCTAATAATTATTTTGACAAGCCAAATAAAATTATTTTCATTTTTTCTATATGAACTAAATTTTTAGACTTCTTTTCGTGAATTGGAAAAGTCGATTGTCGTTGAAAGAATTGCAATTGTCAAAAATATATCTAGAATCTTCAATTACTGATTATTTCTTCTATTTAATAGATCAATACTAATTAAACGAATATAATAATGACAGTCAGTCAGACAAAGCTATTTTTAAGCAATTCTTCGATCGCAAGTCCTTAAAATTTATAGAAATTAGGACTACATTCAGGATAATATTTGTTACGGATGGTAACGCAAAAAAATAAGAGAAGCAATAAGGAGTTAGACAAAGACATCTTTAAGCATTTTTTCGGCAACAGATTCTTGAGATTTATAGTAAAATTATATATACGAAACACAATGTTTGTAATGGATGAAAGTTCGAAAAATAAGCAAAGTAATTTTTTAATAAAAGATCATTATCAATGAGAAATATATATCGTGCAATATGAACTACTATGTGTGAAACTAGTAGGTATATTTGAATCTCCGTTATACGTTCGATCCTAGTAATCCACCTTCCCGTTACACCGCGTTTCGTAACACGATCCGTAACAACGACAACACAGGGATGTTTTTGTAACGAGCGGATCAACAAAAACAACTCCGTAGGAATTTCGCGGAAGTGCAGAGTGGTATAGATGGAAACTGACGGGACAGGACCCGTCGCTTTGTGAAATTCGTTACCACATGTCATCGATTTCGTTTTTTATTCAAGGAGAGCAGCGGTGTCAAGAGCAGTGACAAATCCTAGCGTCCCTAAAAGCGAGACTGTATTTCGAAAGAAAAAGAGAGCTACAGAAAGAGAGAGAGAGAGAGAGAGAGAGAGAGAGAGAGAGAGAGAGTGAGTGAGTGAGTGAGTGAGTGAGTGGGTGTGAGAGAGAAAGAGAGTTGATGATTCCACGAGTTTGATTATTCCACCGAAACTGCAAAAATTCGTTGCAAGTGCAAAACAATGATACAATTCAGCGATGCGAATTTTAATGAAAGATACGACGTCACTCGCTCTCGCGAATTTTGCATGTGCGTCACGCATGCCGACAAATTGCTCGTACACGACCTGATGAATTAATACGCTCACGGGTGTGAAACAAGACCGCATTTGATTTGATAGAAAATTTATTCGAGCCTTTATTTTCGCTGTTAAATAATACACCTTCGTGATCGCCAAGTGCGACTTCTTTATTCATCTGCATTATGATTATTGAGTTTTCATTAAATATATTCTAGAAATTATACAGACGATGTATATAGAGGCTACAGTCCATTTCCTCCAATTATGTTGCTGCAATGTTTCCAATTATAACGACCAATGAAAGTTAACGTTCCTCTGAAATGATGGTCCTAGCGCGACAGAACACAACGAAATGCTTTACGAAATTCGCATTTCCGCAAATTCATTTCGGTATTCGCCCCGCATTTCGTGTACCATTAACGCTAAGTCACTAACTTATATTAAATCTTTGTCTTGGATTGCATTAAAGGATTGACGAAATAATAAGTTCCACATCTCAGACAATTAAGAGTTCCTCAAGATGTCTCTTAACAAGAACGGAAGTTACGATCGTTTCTAATTTCACAGCAATTTCATAGCAATTTCACAACAAGTTCTCAAGTGTTGCCACAGGGAGAAATCAGTATGAATGGTCCTGAGTGAGAGAATAACGCGTTTCATGATGTTTGGTCAAATTAATTCCAAGTAACGGTCATTTCGTGTTTCTCGTTTCCTCGACCCGAATACAGATTGATGTTGAATCTCCGTGTTAGATTGCCAACAGGTGATCAACGGGTTAACGAGCAAAGAAGCGTTTAAACTCTAGATAGAAAGCATTTCGCTAGTCTTCACCTTTCCACATAGCCACGAAAGTTGGCAGATTATCTGAACTTTTTTCTCATTTCGTAACAAGCCATTACTGGATAACTATTTATCCATTCGAAAGAGGAATCACAGAATTACTACAGTTCTAACAGAAATTCATCTACTTCTCTCTCTCTCTCTCTCTCTCTTCTTTTTTTATCCATGAATATCTAGCTACAAGATTCACAGCAGCAAAAATAGGTTACCATCGCGTTTAATCGCGCCGATGGTTATCTTGACAGAGCTTCTTTATAGGAATCCACGGTACGAACAGGAACTAAAATTTAAGCACATCTTCCATTTAAATTCGACCGATAATCGTGCCCGACGTTAAGCCATCCTAAATTTTCAACGCTTATAGCGTACAACTCGGGCTTACCTTCTCACGCTTAGCGAGAATGACCGGAACATATCGTTAATTGCCGAGAAACAAGGAAACGAAGGACATCCTGCACTAAGTATGAGAATTACCGAGATTAATCGTAGGTAAATTTTATGTAAAAGTTGTCGTTCCTAAAGCAGAAGCTTACAAACAAAACATAGCTAAATATCGTGAAGTTCTATCAACATATAACACTGAAATGAAAATAACGATCGGATTTTTTGATCCTGAAAATGGCTGCGCGAATTTTTTCTGCCTGCCCCAGTTCGTATGTCGAGTATGTGATATTTTTGTACGATTCGAAACGAAACCCCGCTCGAAGTAGCTTACTCGGTTCCGCACTTTTGTTATTTTCTTTTTTCTTTTTTAATTTGTAAAACTCGTTCGGTCGAGATCGAGGTGAATTTGCTGGTGTAAAGTATGGTCGAGATTACGAGTATTGGTGCGGCACTAGTGCGGCACTACCGATCAATAGTTTGAGTACAATACGCTTTCCTCGGTGAATCCGCGAGTCCTCGCAATTCTGAAAGGTCAGGAAAATTATGTCGGCGACAAGCAAAAATTTATCGTCACAAATTAAATTAACGTTGGTCTTTATTCTCTATATCGAGAAACAAGATTCATAATGACTACTGACGATAAGAAATTTGTACCACACTGAACTAAGATTTCTCATTTATTACTGATTGTTAGTACTATACAAAAAAACATTCTGATAAAAATTTCATTTTTTATAGCAGTTATTAAAAAAATAAAACTGCTTAGATGTATGTAACGCTTTGCTTGCAGTTACTTCGCACAAAAGATGCGCAAAATTTGAACCCATTATCGAACAAAAATGCGACACTAAGGCCTATTTCCACCAATGTAAATTAACTTTAATCTCGGTTCAACTTATTCTTTTCATCTTTTTCTAATCTTTACAACTAGAAAAAGACAAAGAGTAAGTTGAATCAAGATTAAAGTTAATCTACATTGATGAAAACGGGCATAAATGGATTGCATGATATTTTAAGTAATATAATAATCTATTGTTACTAAACAACAATAATTGTACTGTGTCTACGTAAATTGTATATATTTTAAATTTTTTACCAGGAGAATTGTTTCAATTATTAAATAAAATCAAACTTTTATCTGCGCGGTATTGTTACAACATAACAAAATATTAAACAATAATTGAATGGATGTTTAGGAAAGCTGCGAATATTCTTATCAGGGTAGTTTTGGAGAAGTATCTAGAAAATTTAGCTAGATACAGATTTGAATATAATTTTATTAGGCCATCAAAATAATTATGTTGAATGCTCAAAATGGTTGCTAAAAAATTTTTTGCAACTTGCTCATTATGCTTGAACGTCCATAATTATTTTAATAATCCAACAAAATTATTTTCAGAACTATTTAGCTAAATTTTATTCCACACACACACACACATACACACACGCACGCACGCACGCACGCACGCATGCACGCACGCACGCACGCACGCACGCGCGCGCGCACACACACACGCACACACACACACACACACACACAATAAAATCTTTCCGTAAATATAACAATTTCATTTATATTTCATTCATCGCTATAGACTTATGCACGACTTCGCTCTACATAAAATCGGAGACAATCATTCAATCAATTGACGCCGTTTTCATAAAGTCCATCTAAAATCCTTTTCACCCACCAATCCTATTCATCCGATAGTACATATAGCCATTTTTCCTCTCGAGCTTCTTCCTTCGTCGAGTGTTAAAATGAGACGGAGAAAAATCGTCAGCAGTCGTTGTCCACAAAGTGCATCGTGACAGGGCGACGACAAAAATTCAATACTCAAGTTGCTATTTCCGTGGTGGTGAATTTCCTTCATGTTGTTGGCAAAAGGGTGATTCTTTTCATCGAATCGCAATACAAACAGCCGCACGCAGTTTCGTCGATCAGCCAATCGACGCCACTGGTACAGCTTTGAACGGGCTCTCTTTCTCTCTCTCTCTCTCTCTCTCTCTCTCTCTCTCTCTCTCTCTCTCTCGACATACGCATGCAAGGGTGTATTGTATGCCAACACACAGCACCCTCGACCTGCGGGCGGCCAATTGGGGTATCGTTCAATTGAACGAACGGAAAATCAATCCGACAGGGTGGTAATTACGTCGTACATGAAACCGCGTCGAGGT